GAGATAGTGGCCATATTTCGCGAGAAGCAGCGACCTCGAGCAAGCAGGCCAAGTAGAAGCATGTTTAGTTTATTCCTGCTGCTGTGCCTGGCCGTAAATGAGATAACGATTCTGCACCAACTTCAGCAGGCAGTTCCGCTGAGTTCCAGTATGTTGCGTTCACGCCTTTCAATTGCAATTGCACAGCTCCTTTCATTGGCCGAAGGAGTCTAACTATTTGGATCCGCAGTAGCCTGAGACGAGGCCGTGCTGATGCCCCATATAGTTGTTGGTTTTATATGGGCTTATTTTGGCCTCCCACCTAGCAAGGACAAGCTCGCATTCCAGGTTTCAGCCGAGAGCAAAGTAGCAACGCGACATTGCATCGTATGGCAACGGCAATCGCAGTATCATTATCTATCCAAGTAGCTGCAGTTCACCCCCGGTCAGCTCAAAGGCACTTGTCGACTTAGAGCTACGCTGTTTTGGGGATCGGGCACATCACATCCACACACTCTTCGTGGCTAAAATCGACTCATATGACTTCTCCTCTAGTTGCCCGCTCACTTCCTCAGCAGCCAACTAGGCAGCATCAATTCCAACAGTAATGCAGGAATTGAGACTACCCAGAATGTCAGCTTCCTGCAGGGCTTGCGCAGTCTCAGAATTAATCCGCCGTCTTGAATCCATTTTTAGTATCCTCCAAGTCCAGGGTTTCTAGGGTTTCTGGATCTCAAGATCAGAACTGTTCTTGCGGGATGAACCACGAGTATACGACCAGAACTACGACCTACGAGCCCCCCATCGACATCAGCCCTGAAGAACCCTTTACGAACACAAAATCCCTAAGGAACACCTTAAAACATCTTTACAACCTCCAGGAGGGTGACTTCGTGAAGAAAAGCTTGGGCTCGGACCTGATCTCTTGTGCAGCCTTCCTGAGCTGAAGAACAGGGTTTGGCTGGGCTTGGGGATAGTAGAGCTGTATCAAATTAGGAAAATTTCAGGATGGTATTACGACGTAGGTACCATAAGGGAGATGCGTCGATCATCAAAGTCAATATTACAAGACTTTTCCCGTTCTTTAATCCACTATATCCGTGTGACTGACCGAGCGGAAGGTTGCTGGAGCCCTTTGGGGCAGCCGTCAGCCATCGAAAGCGAGTCCTTTTGCGCCTGACGGCTCCTTGACCACAACTGCCAGACGCGGCTGGGAGTGCGTGAGTAGCAAATCGCGCGAAAATCTCGGAGAATGCACTGAGTACGCGCGCCTGTTGAAGTATATGATATATATGATATATATATATATATATACATATATATATATATGAATAAGCATGGAGGCTGAGCGAGCTGTACCGATTGGGGCGCCGTCCGGTGGCTCGGGATTCCACTCGGTACTATATGGACAGCACCAGGCAAGTGACCGCAGCCAGGCAGGGTGTGCATCTAATTGTATTCTAATGCTATTAAAATAAATGTTAATTAATCCCTACCCCTAATATTAAACCGGGGGCCCCCGCCCCCACCCGATAGATACTCGCAAAGTGTTTTATTATTAGGGGGTATTTTTATCTCTACTGTCAGATTTGGGTACAATTACGGCCGCTCCGCGCAGACAGGCTCAGAGAGGGCCTGTGAAAGCTGACTTAATTAGTCCTCTCAGACAGACTGCCTGCAGATTTAGGAAAGTGTGAGACAGGCTTCGGACAGCCACGCTCACAGACCGAGCTGCAGACAGGCCGTCGCAGCTGAGAAAAGACCGACAGCTGGCAACCAGGGAGGCTCACCCTAAACCCTCAACCTTTACCCTAAAGCCCCCTTAAAAGGGCAGGAGTGATTTCGGGAGGATTGGGTCCAATGTGTTTTTATTATTCGGGGGTGTTTAATAGGAGGGGGAAGGGATTATACTGTTATAAGCACGTGGACATGTACCATGCGTAAGCTGCCAGATCTCAGCTGAACTGACTGCTGAACAAACTCCACACGCAGACCGTCATCATGGTTGCTACTACAGGCTGACTGCAAGCAATGTCCTTGACTACTTACCACTCAAGCAGCCTTTGAGTCCCGGCATCGGATTTCGCTCTGCCACCAGGTAAGCCGGAGGCCTCCAACCGTCCAAGAACCTGGAGCTCAGTCGTCTTTTGCTGAAGTTTTCAAGCCTCCGTGCTGCTAAGGACCCCTGTTATCTTCAGGCATTGCGCCACAAGGCAGTCAGCCAAGTCTAACACATGAAACCGAACACTTGTGCTGGAAAGACCGGCCTTAAAGCTAGTTTTCCTAAGCAGCCCGAGTCTGGCACCCATTTCTCGACTCTGTGGGTTTCTCCATTTAGCGCTGATAAGGGCCTCTCAAGCTTCGAGGCTGCTGGGAGCCATTCAGGATGCTAAGCTGCCCCTCTGCTCCCCAGGCAGAGTCACTCGATGTCTTGGAAGGTGATGCACTTCCTTGGGATGTCTTGGACATTCGATCTTGCCAGGGACTCATCTGATGCAATGAGAGCCTGTCACTCTTCGAGGGTCTGGGACAAAGCCTGGCTCTTGCCAAACAGCCCCATGTGGTGCCAAGCAGCTTTTCTTGCCAGTCCAGCCAGTACACAAGCTCCTCCAATAACACTTCAGGCAAGATCTCTGAGGCCACTGATGAAGCGCATCTGATGGTTTTGCTTTAGGATTCTGGCCAACTGACAACCACTGGCACCAAGCTCGAACCCTGTTGAATCTAAAGGTGGCGAGGCTTTCAGCTCACAGGCTTCAAGTCGCTATACCGTGGCGAGACGAGCCTGTGTGTACTTCATCTACAGTAGGAATGACCACTGCAGCAAACAGAGCAATGGACAAAGAGACTTCTGACCGGCTGGATAGCCAAATCTACGTTCCAAGCATCCAGCTAAGGATGTCGATGATTCTTGAATTTCTACCTCTTCCAGGGCATCCTTGAGCTCGGGCTCCGCAAACTCTGCCCCCATCTGAAGGCATCGGCGAACGAAGAGATCGTGGCCTAAGCCGAAAATATCGGAGCTGGTATTGGTTCCATTGATCCAGGCTTGTCGGACCAACTGAAGGAGAAGCCGCCAAACATATGCTAACTTCACGGGAGGTTGGGTTCCGCCGAGCCGTGAAGCTTCTGCCTCCCCTCCTCGCCTCCAGAACCCCCTGAACTCCAAAGCGCCTTTTTATCTGCTTGGCGTCTGATTCGTTGCTTCTCCTGCTTGTCGATCGCTTTCCAGAGCCCATAGGCCGGCCTGGAGGCCAAAGACGCAGGGGTTTTCTTTGGTGCACCAATAACTACCCATAGGCTCCTTAGTAGTTCCTTTTTGGGATTACCTTATAGGATTCTAAATATAAACCACAAAAAGGAACTACTTAGGAGCCTATGGGTATTCTCTCACCATCGATAACCGTCTATGACCAGCATTACGAGCGATGGCTATGAAAATGAAAGCAAAAGCTGTTCTAAGGACTGCGTCTGTGCATGCAAGTCTACACTTAAGGGTTGGAATATGCATACTGCATCGGATGCAGTAGAGATATCATACATGTAGGGACAGGAACTGCGTGTATACATCGCAGCATATTGTCGGATGCTTTGGCAAACCCTTTTTGGGTACATAAACATAGATCTAAATAAGTATGAAATATAAAACATAGTACGTACATACATACATACATACATACATACATGTATATATATATACATATGCAACAAATATTAGAGGTCCTTACAAGTTAATAACAAGTACACGAATAAGCACATGAATGAAAACTTATACTTATACACTTGTTCACATCAGTAAATGTCCAGATATAGCTAACTGCACTATTCGTGGGAATGTTCAAACATGCGAACGGACATGCATGTGGGTATGTCAATCTATGCATTGTCGCAGGAAACATACCTCATCATACCTCCCTTTCTTTGCCATGCCGGCAAGCAGACAACGGAGCACAACAGAGATGTGATTAAGCATGCTGGCGCCCGTGCAACCCGTCCGAGCGCCCGGAGCATGGGAGTGAGATTTGGTTTGATGGACTCGCAATCTTACACAAGCTAAAGTCTTTGAACCGATCCAAGTTCCCGACCAAGGCAAGACCAAGCACGCACCTGTCAACTGTTTTTGTTCTGCCGCGGCGTCCTGCGCGCAGTGAGTCTCAAGGAGGGAGATGTGCTGTGCGGTCTCGGTATGTCGCGAGAAACTCAGAGAGCCGAGCCTCTAATGGAGCTTTGCAGCTTCCGCTTGCAGCGAATAAGATAACCTATATCCGGCCGAAAATATGCCAAAAGGACAAATCGGGACGACGAACAAGAGCAGCATTGGCCCAAGACTGCCAACTTTGCCAGCTCCAAGTCTTTGCAAAGAGAGCTGGCTTCACCGTCGCTCACACGAACGTTGGCAGTGTCTGCACACCCCAGCTACGAATCCACCAAGCAAGAATCTGAATGATGCTATGTGTTTCTGCCTCAGTCTGAACACGCTAAAACACGCTCCCAAGCTTTAAACTACTGAAGTACTCGACAATCAGGGCTGAACAGAAGAAGTGGCGATCAGCCGGATCAGGATGTAGTGAATTAGCAGAGCATCGATTTGCAAAGTACATTCACCCGCCGTCTTATCGACGTTACGGTGGATGGAGCTGTTGGACGCAAACTCTGTCTCAGCTCAACGTGCTCCGTTGAAATCTATAGCTATGTAGTCGAGGAAAAGTCCCGCGGAGCAATGTGCAAAGCGGTCTTTTAAAGCATCCTCTTAGCAGATGCTGTGGAAGCTCAAAGAGGCCCGGAAGCACCGGACCATCCATCAGTGTCGTAAACAACCAACCTCTTCGCCAGTCAGAGCACGCAAGACGTGCTGTGCTTGAGTTCCCGAAGTACACCGGACATGCCTTGCATGTTGGTCTAGACCGACTTTTTCAGCCTTTCGGGTGTAGTTGAATTTAGTTGCACTGCCATAGACGAGCTTGAGGCGAGAATTGAAACTAGCAGCTCGCCTGTGATGTTGATGCAACATGCCATTGGACTCAGAGCTGATTCACATCAAGCATGCACAGCGGCTTGACCAGCAAGGGAAACGTTGTCTGCGGTTCGGATGGGTCGTTCCTCTTCCTGGGCTCGTGAACTTCTGTAGATGTATCTCGGTGCTGAGGTGTGCCACTAGCTGCTACTACAAAGGCCATGCTATCCATGTCTATCCATATATAACTTGGGTCAGGTGGGGGGGGCCTGAAGAACTACCAAGCAAAAAGGCTCGGGAGCCGACACCCTATACTAACTACATACGATAATATACCCTAATATACCCTATAATATACCTTTATATACTCTAATAATATACTATAAAAATATACTAGAATGTACTGGAATATACTATAATACATTCAAATCCCAACATGATCATGTTTGGAAGCCAGCTGCGTGTCTAAGTGCATGCCAGGGGTTGGAGTGCACGCGAGATGTCGGAGTCGATCGTTCACGCTTCTCCTGACAGGGTCCCAGGCCAAGCGTCGGAAACGCAAAGCCCAAGCTCCGCATCAGCCCCGGTACCCCTAACTCTAGACTCTGACGATGCACCGATGCACCGTGGGGGCACCCTGACTAAGCCGCTGCATCAGCTCAAGGGGGGTGTAAATTTGATAACGAGCAAACGAACATTCCACCATGATGGCAATGGGCCGGCATCAACTACCTACAGGTATCAGAAAAAAACTAGCATACGCCGCAGCGATATCTCATCACAAATTTCATGTTTCAAACGGCACATCCTTCAGACTATGTGTGGCCCAGCTCTCAGTATCAGCTTTGAGCGGCCCTCGTTTGCTGAATAATAGCGCATTCCCGTGGTACCCCATATTGGTTCTATAGCGCTTTGGACAGGAGCAAAGTCTTCTACACACCCGGTACCCGCGCTATGCAACCTGCGATTGTAGTACCAACCAGTGCATGCCTGCCTCAGGGCCGCAACGGATGACAACGAGCTGGCAACTGAGCCGTCGTTGCTGTCCCGCTCCATGGAATCGATGCTGGATACCTGCGATGAACCATCATCTTCCAGGAGGCCTGCCTTAGTCCAATTACTCATCTGAAGGTGAACCGTGGACAATCATGATTTTCAGCCGCTGAAACTCTGTGAAGATTTATAGTCGAAGGGCTCCAGAGGCTACCACTGCCAAATGGGAATTTGAACATTGTTTTGTGTCCAACCCTCTCCGACGCCCGCACTCGGCAGGTCAGGGCACTAGCAAAATCCTCGAAAACCCAGCCCGCACTACGAGCAGCATTGCTAGAGTATCATTGTTATTTTCAGCATCATCGATGCTCTCTGAACTCCGCTCTCGCCTCAGCTAACATAGAAATTCCTGAAAAAGCTAGAGACTCGAAGAATCACAGACCCGGCTCTGCATCCTGCATGGACGGACCACAGGGGTTTAGGGTCTAGCGGAGTCAAGGCCTGGCAAGTGTTTGTACGACTTTGTAAGTCTTGCGAGAGGCAGGATCTTCCAAAAATAAAATATGTATGAGTGCAGAAAATGCACATGTATTTTAGACATTACCAGAGCCCATGGTTCACAATGTTGCTACGCTTTACATACCATCCTCCATTTTGATACTTCTAGCATTTACACATATTTAAAAAGTTGGTTAAACAAATGTGCATGTCGGCTTCTGAAGGCAGGTCAACAGGGAACATATCATACTCTTTATTCCAGACTACGCTGTGGCACGGATGTTCTTAGAGTTCCCAATGGGTTTCGAACTCTGAGCCACCGAAGATTGCACGAAATGGAATGGCGGACTCCCATAAAAAGAAAGCACCCCCCCCTTGAGAGAGAGAGAGAGAGAGAGAGAAAGAGAGAGAGAGAGAGAGACAGAGACAGACAGGAGGGTCAGACACAAATACGCATTTAACATACCAAAACATAAGCAGAGACATCCCCTAGGCATAAAGCAAATAAAACCCATACGACTAGCGGCGATGGAAAATGATAGCTCCTGTCGCACGACCATGCCCGACCCAAAGTCAGAACACTATTGCGTAATCATCTTAAGTACAATATGCGCGTTATGATTGATGTTCTTATTCTTAGTGTCTATAAGGCTCGAACCCTTTGGCTGATGCAGCCCAAGCACGTAGGTGATCACTTGCTGTGGGTCATCCTCTACGAAGGACTGGATGTATTCCAGAATTTCGGCTGTCAGCCATCCCTGCCTCAGGAACTGGCCTTTCCACAGAAACTCACTGAAGCATGTCTTGCACCGGGCTCTCCGCTTCCGGATTTGGTCAATGATTGCAGCTGCATCACATCCACATGCTGGCCGCAGGTATAACAGTGAGCGGTGTCGTCGGCGAAGTTGTATCTGCTTTCTTTGTTGCGAGCAGCCCTGCTTCGGGCTGTTTTCATGCAAGCCGGCAAATTGCTTTAGGATTTCGGCTGTTAGAGGTTTCTGGTGTGCACGTAGGCAGCGAGTCCGCTGGCTCATTGCTTGGAGCCCAACAACATGAAGTAGGGCGGAGCATACCCGAAGGCTTGTGAATGCTACAGGCCTTGCCTGGCCTAGCCACACAAACCGTCCGCAAGCAAAACAGCAGAAACAGCTGAATTGGTTCATCAGCTGCTCTGGTTCATCCAAAACGCACATGCACAGGACGGCAGACTCAAACATCTCAAAAGAGATCTGTACAACTTCCTCGTTGTCACAGGACATCATCACTTCAGCCATGGAAAGCCGCATAGAAATGAATGCACAAGTGCTCAACAAGCCGTTGCTGTGGCGAGGGTTCTCCATGAAGTAGACTAAGCTGTTCAAAGAGTTCAGAAACTTCAGCTGTGCAGACACCGCTGCCAACAGAAACAGAAGAGTCGCCTGAAGGAGGAAGACCTTCTTTGAAATCGACAAGTCCTTGCCTGCGGCGAGAGACACGCAGTAGGATGTGGCAGACACGAGCGGAAGCACGCACATCATCATCTCCATGCGAACTTTGTGGCGGACAGAAGCTGTGCACCATGGCTGAGACAGACGCGCAAGCGACGGCATGCTGCCAGAACAAGACATGTGGAAGCGCTCTGAATGGTTCTGGCCACAGCACTACACGGTTCGAGTGCCTACTCACCCGTCAGACTTCGCTGGCGATTCTGGCTGGTCAATTAAAACCATCTGCTACGGGTTCCTCGACATGAGCGTTGAGCCACTGGCAAGCGGCTAGCACTTGGGTCATGCTCGAAATTCTAAGACCCATGCTACTTTGCAACCTGAATCATCCTGCATCATGAATGCCTTCTACTTGCACATAAATGAAAAACGATCAAACAGGACGTGCCTGGCAACCCAGTGCGACAACTTGCTCTAGGCTTTTCACTTGATTGTAGGTTCGGAGGCGGTAAGTCTCCCACCACCCCAAGGCAAGGCCTGTTGCCAAAGCGTTTCTCACCAAAGCTGCGAAACCTGCGGCCAAGTGAGAAAGGCACTTGAGTCTAACAAAGCCGGAACACCTCTCCCGAATTCCCGCATTGCTTCTCAGAAAGACGCCTGCTGCCTCATCCCAAACCTCAGATCTGAACATAAGGTTTGGATTCTTCTCAAAGGCAAAAGAGGATCCCCGGCAAGCTGCACCACAGCCTCTACTGGCCCAGGTTGCTTTAGACTCTAGACTGAAACTTCTCCTAGCTAAACCCCATGGCATGTCTGCAGGGCAAGGCTTGCAAAGGCTGGGCATGCTGCATGGGTCGTGAATGGCCCTCCTCTTAGCAAAAATGTCATGGGATGTCATGGGAGGCCTCGCCAGCTGCCGCGCGCAGCTGGGGTCCAGCTCTTCCAGCGAAGCAGTTCCTTGCGGACTTACACTCCGTCCCACCGGATGCAAGGGAGTTGCTGAAGTTACATCGAACTCATAACCACGAACATACACAAAGACCCTCAGCTCCCTGTGAAGGACCCGCAAACAGCCCTGGTGTATCGGCGTAACCGAAGCGGATGAGATGCAGGCACGGACGATTTATCGGAAATCACATCTACGCCCATTATGCATCACGGCGCCATTGCCCCCATTATCCAGCGCCAGCCAGAGGCATGTGGTATCACCCTTCCAGCCTCGGAGACTGTAGCTTGAAGCGTGAAGCACTAGGCACTCTTGAGGCCCCCGTTGTCCAGCTGGTTTAGAGCATGCAAAAGCCTGAAGATGATGCTTGATATACCCGCCAAGCAAAACAATTCACGTCGCTCGATGGCCCTTAAGGCTTTGGGGAGGTGATGCGAAATGGTTGCATTTGGCAAGCACTGGCGGCCTTGGGTTGTAGAGGAGAAGACTACGTGCTCCACCGTGCTTGAGTTATCAACTGCAGCCGTTGCCCAGCTCAGCCAACACAGGATTTTTTCCTCGTCCTGCGAATGCGACACTAAGTCGTCCTGCGGTACTTCGAAGGTGGCTGCTGCCTGGGCAGGTTATTTCTCGAGGACGGTCTGCGGCTACGCGGAACAATCAATGCAGGGCTTTTTGGAGAATATCGACAAACCGACAGAAAACATCTGAGTGTCCGAGCGACCCGTTCTCGGGATGAAGGAGAGTCTTCACAAATCGCCTCTCACAGCAGTGGCTCTACATCAACACCCAATCAGTCCGTGCAACAGCCTCGCCAAACGTGCACAAGGCAATACCATACTGAATCTCCCCATTGGTGAACCCCAGCAAGATGTCGAGAGATTGTTAAAGCCTTCTATTCTAGCCCCCCTTCTCTGAATCATTGTTTCACGGGTCTTTCGATCACCATTGAACATTCTCAAATCCGTAGAGTTGAAATCTGGAAATCCTAGACCTTCATTCCTCTTCACCCGGTGCTCTGCGGTGGCCTTAAGAATGGGGCGCCATGCTCTTCGGGATCATAAACCCCTTCGCCCTCGGCATCGCAGAATTGCCGCCACATCAAGGCGCATGCCTGTACGTCAACGTCTGGAAGGGTCTCCAGCGGATCCCCGGTCATGCTTACCGGCTTACCGGTACACTACCACTCACTCTGCCCCGTTCTTGTAGCACCTTGCGGAATTGTGCCCGTAATATGCATGCATACATAAATACATACATACATACATACATACATACATACATACAGACAGACATACATACAGACATACATACATGGAGACATGCATGCATACATACATTCAAATTGCATGTGCATGTATGCATGTATGCATGTACGCATGTACACATGTATGCATGTATGC